AATCTGATTATCCTGACTAAAAGGAGAAGAATAAAGACACAAAATGAACAATCACTAGTGCATAACAAAGATAACTCTACTTACCTTCCTGTAGCTAGGGTGTATTCATCAGAAGGCGACCATTGTACTGTCATTACTGGTTTCTTGTGTCTCTTCAATATATGACTACTGGAGCCAGAGTTCATGTCACATATGGTAACGATACCATCTTTGGTACCAACTAGAGAAAATAATAAAATATTAATTAATGATTTGTTATTCAATTTTTAAATAGTTGCTTCACCTCACCAGCTGTCAATGTGTGCTTCATTGCTTTTGCTAAATCATGGGTATAAATTGGACTACTCATTTTAAAATTCTCCACTACCTAAAAAGGAAATAAAATTAACATCATATGTAGCAAAGAATGCCCACACACAATACTCATTCTCAAATTCCCATTCCCATGTTTCTATTTTCCCATTCTCGTGTGCATGAGTCCACCCACACACATCTCATTAGTATCCCATATTCTTAAGGTTTTATCCATCGAGGAACTGGTAAAGATCCCAGTGTCATGAGGGTACCACTTCAACTCTGAAATACTGTGAGTGTGAGAGGAGGGTGTGGTGCTATAAAAGAAGGCGTGTTACTCAATTAATTAATTAATCATTAATTTTTAGTACCTTCCACGATTGAATGCAACTGTGGGACAGGTTTGACGAGCCACACCCACTTGATAACGAGTGTCTTGAATGAAAATGGAGCCATCAGTTGTACCTGATAATAAACTGAGAAAGAGAGAAAAGGGCGGAGTCAGAAAGACGATAATAATAATTTTTAATTATTATAATAAATGCATGTACACATGTACATTAATTAATTACTATCTTTGGGAGGTGTGGTCTAATTGCATGGACGTAATTCCGTTGTCGTGTGATCTCTCAAATTCTCTGTTCCTGCTCAGTGACAGTTGAGTCCATTTGTGTGAAGCGTAGACCTTAGGGAGTGTCCATTCCTCTTCAAGCCCCGCCCTCCTGTCCCTTAGGAGCTGGATC